TGGTACTTCTATTTTTCCAAGGCAGTTTTAGAGGGCTCTTCTATGACAGGGTTCCTTCAATTAGAGCCCTTCTATTTTTCCGACCATTTTTTCCGAAAATTTTTCATCAAAAAATTCGACGAATTTCCATTCAAAATTCATGAAAATCTATCAATTTCACCAAAATTAAGCAGGATTTTCACCGAAAAATAGAGTTTCAACAAATATCTTGTAAATTGTGGAATTCCCGGAATATTTTTCACGGAAAACGTACTGAAATTCTTCAATTTCAAGACATACTTTGAAGCGGGTCCTTCGTATTACGGGGGCTCTTCTATTACAGGGGCACTTCTGTTTTTCCAAACTCTCTCTCTGAGGGTCCTTCTATCAACAGAGCCCTTCTATTAAAGGGGACCTTCTAATACATGTTTTACAGTATTTATGTTTTTTGGCAATTCTTAATTTCTTTCTTTTGCCCGATTTTTTTGGCTATGCCTAATTTTTTAGGTTTTACCTAACTTTTTTTTTGGTTATGCTCAATTTTTGGCTATGGCCAATTTTCTGGCCGTGTTTAGTCTTTTTTATTATCCTTTTTTGGGTGAATACTCTTTTGGGTCAAAAAGCATAGAAAATCAAGTAGAACCGTGCTTGTCATTTTCTGTAGTGTTTGTTACCGCTCTTTCTATCGAACAAGCCGAATATTTCTCTCTCTTCAAAACCGGTACCATATCCTCTTGAAACTACAAATTCCAATTTTCATAGCTCAGTTATCTCTTCTGACAGTACTTTTCCGTGTACTTTTCTTATCCCATTCTGGACTCCCAGACCAGAATCTTTCTTCTCCTATTTTCTTCTATTCCAAAGACAAAACTATCTTCTTTAAAAAGCGCTCATATTCTTATTCCCCATTCGCTCTCCCATTCTCTTTTCAAAGTTCGAACAACTTTTTGCTCCTCCTCCCCACCTCTTTTTTTCTAGTTCTCATTTCTGTTAAAAGAAATATTTTCAGCGAGTTTCAGAGCACTAGATAATCGTATTAGTTGTTCTGTGTGACGCTATTTGCACAGAAAAGCGAGAAAAAGAAAGAAATGTCGAGTGTTTTGTGTTTAAGACCTATTTTCTCAGATTTTTTCCTTCTTCCTTATTTAGAATGCAATGAGTTGATCGTTTTTTGAGAAAAGGGAAAGTATTTGGATCCTTAAAAAAAATTTTCTAGAAAATTACAGTATTTGCTCCAATGGAAGCTCACCCTTTATATGGACTTCGAGATCAATTATCTTGGTTCCTTCAAAAGATACCGAAAAATTTTGAACTGATAAATTATTTATCTTGATATCACCAACATTTTATCAATTCACAGATTGTTGATTTTTCTCATATTAGCCGAGATAAAAGAGATCAAAGTTCACTTGTATGGTAGGCTTCTATTAGAGCAAATACGGTATCTTCTTTTTTCTAAAAAAAATCTATAAAGTTCAAATCGATTCTAAAAAATTATTTTCTTTTCCCATGACTTTATATGATCAAACAAAAAAAAACTTATTTGATACATTTCCATTTTTCTGGTCTTCCTCCATTTCCTCCCAATGGTTCTCCTCTCTCATTGCTTTTTCTTCTTTTCTTCGAACAAGTTTTTTTTCTTCTTATCCCATTTCTTGTTTCTTAGAATGACCCAGCACTAATATGTATGCTCTCTATGTGTTAACGCAAATTTCCGCCCCGAGATGCGAAAGCGCTGTTTTTAATGAATATGAATATAGATAGAGATGTACCTCTTCTCACTTTCGCGTCCTCCAGTTTCTTTTTCCTCATTTTTTTTGGCTCCCAACAAATTTTGAGCACTAAAAGTTTAGACTTAAAAGAAACAGTTTTCTAAAAGTACATTTTGCAATTCGAAATACTTTATGTATAGGTTTTGAGTGATAACAGAAGACTGCATGGTTGGTCTTTTGGACTGATAAGAACTATTTTCTTTACGCGTTTTCTGGGTTTTTCCTAGCGGTGATTTTTCATCGATTTTCATTGAAATTATCAGCCTGTTTGCCGCGCCTCTGGCTCTTCAAACAGCTGGCTGGTGCGCCTTCGGCGCGATTTGACCTATTTATTTTAATGTTCGTCGCTTCGGTCCTCACTCTTTCCCGAAAGATCACGTCAATTTATATTTAATTTTCAAGCTTTTCAAAAATGTATGGACGGAAATAAAAATATGAAAATTCCAGCTAGTTTTTATGAGGAACGAAAGATGAAAATGTCAGAAGTTAAAACCGAAAATATTGACCACTAGAATTCCACAAGACGCAGTACCGCGAAAGAAATGATATAATTATTGCATTTTTGGTAAAAGTGTACCGTAAACATTCTAATTGAACGATCCCTAATTTTAAAGAAAGTAGAAACCATTAAGAAAACTAAACATACAGTAAAACCTTTATTAGAAGGGCCAGCCTTTCTATTGTTTCAAGGTATCTAGAGAGAGCCCTTCTATTAGAGGGGCCCTTTTATTTTTCCGGTCATTTTTTTCCGAAATTTTTTATCAAAAATTAGGTGAATTTTCGCTGAGAATGCATGAATTTCACCAAAGTTAAGCAATTTTTTGAGTGGAAAAGAGTGTTCCAACGAATTCCTGTGAAATTATGGCCTAGTATTTTTCCGAGCCCTTCTCAGATGACTCTTCTATTAGAGAGGTTCTTCAATTAAAGGGACGCTTCTAATACAGGTTTTACGGTAGATCGATTTGTTGAAGTGAAATCTTTTCTATAGGATCTGTTTTTGAAGTGGTTCCAAAGTTTTTGAAACGAAAAAGAAAACAAACTTTGTATTGATTTGGCAGATTTGACTTTTGAACTTTTTGAATGTTCTCAACCTGCACCTCAAAATTTCAAAACATTTGTGCCAATAATATTTCCCGAATTTTCCTACACTCGCCTACTTTTGTTCTGAACCTCTCCTCATCATCATAATGCACCTCAAAAAAATGCGGAACACATATTTGGAGCATCCATGCTCATATATTCCTTCACAGACAAACATACTCCAGCTCCCAATAAAATTGCTTCTATAATATTACGCATATATCTCACCACTCGCCTCTCCTACTTTTGTGCAGCCAGCCAGTAGTCTCATCCCCAATTCCGAATTCCGTTGTTTTGCTCTCAGGAAGCAAATCATTATATTTCTGAGTTTCAAGAGGCTAGAAAAAAGGAAAGAGTACGCTGAAATTAGGTTACCTCGTCCACCTACGCTTTTTCGTCTAGGAATAAACAGTTCCAGGCACTTAAATGTGAGGCGAACTTTTATTTTTGTGTTCAATCTATAAAAGTAGTGTTATTGCAAACATTATGCTTTAAAGTATGATCATATGAATCGTATTTTTGTTTCGAGATCAAATTTTCCAAGCTGTCTAAGACCAACGATTGTCTAAGATCATTTCACCCACTTTTTCATGAAGCCAGTGACCCTGCTGACCCGGTCATCTAATACTTTATTCATTTGCTCTGTGCTCTTTCTGAGAAACCCCTTCTTGAACCTTTCCACAGACCATTTCTCAATTTCATGGCACTTTTTTCATAGGTTTCTTCCGAAACCTCAGAAGTCTATAAAAGCTTTTTAAATAGGGGATACGGTAGTTTTATTTTGAAACTCTTCCGTTTTCTTTTTCCACTTCTTCCCCCGCCCGACCCCTTTTTCCTTTTTCTGTGATTTATTAACCACTCGTCACTCCCACTTTCCGGCTCCTTCTTTTCTAAAAAAAAGAACTCCAGGCCGCCGCTCCTCATTTTTCTTCTCCATTTTTTCCATCACATTTCGTCAGTCATCCGTCAGGTATGCGCTCCAATCCCAAACGAAATCAAATCGGTTTTTTTCTTCGTTCGGACTTTCCGGCGGGCCCCTCCGTTTTTCATTTGTTCACTCTCAATCGTCAAGTTTTTGGGGTCCGCGGGGATTTGGAAGAAAAAAAACGAAGTTTCTCTCTCTATCTTGCAAAACGTCATTTCCGAGTTTCTGGTATGAGTGACATCTGCAAAGTTTTAAGTGGAAACAGAGTTACGGATCAAAATTTTGTTGTCGAGATTGGGGGGGGGGGGGGGGTGGAGTGGTTTAGGAAATCTCGATATTGACCAATAAGAATTTTTGTCCAAAAATCTGTGATTTTTTGTACCAAAAAGTTGGAATTTCTAGGCCCGAAAGCAGTGGCAGTACTACCCCCTAGCGCGTCGAGACCCGCAAAAAAATTACGCGGTATTTTGAAAAAAAATGTTTCTCACAAGTTCTTTGGGGGTCTCGGAATGCTACGGAGAGTACTGGTTTCAACTGTGCAAATTACTGTAAAACCTGTAATAAACTCCCTAACATTTGGCTTTGAGCCAATGTATCACCTTTCCTGTCATAGATACAGTAAAACATGTAATAAAAGGACCGGCCCTTCTATTTTTCCAAGTCTCTCTCAGAGAGCCTTTCTATTACAGAGGCACTTCTATTACAGGGGTCCATATTTCCTAAGAAATTCCGATTTTTCAAAAAATTACATATATTTTTGCTGGTCTCGATTTGCAACGTACAGCCGCACTGGTTTTGTCTGCGCAAGGCCCCCTAATCTTTGACTTACAATTAGAGCCAATTAATACCCTTTCCTGTCATAGATACCGTGAAACCGGTATTAGAAGTGCCGGCCCTTCTATTTTTCCAAGCCTCTCAGACGGTCTTTCTATTAGAGGGGGCCCTTCTATTAAAGTGGTCCTTTTAATGCAGGTTTTAAAGTATAATCTTGGGAATCTGGGTCCAGAAAGGCTAGATTTGGGAAATTTGGACCCGGCATAAGATTTTGACAGAAAACGGTATTCTTAACAGAAATTTATAAAATATCCACACTTTATATTTCTTTCTGCTCTTACACCAATACTTTCTTTTTTCATAGCTGTATCCCTTCTCATTATCCTTCGTTTCTTCTAGTTTCCTTTTTTCAGGCAAAATTGTTGAACTACCTTATAAAGGAGAACTTCCGTCTCCTTCGAAACACCCGAATGGACGAATGGTGGTGGTGGATTCTGGTAGCGACCCTGTCGCTGTGTGCGCTGATTCTAAGCTCGTGTGCAATCTATTTTGGAGCAAGAATATGTGTGCGACAAATCAAGAGGAAAGTCAAATATTCAGGTTCGTGGGATTCTTAAAAGTATTTTTGGGGTTCCAACGGTGGGTCCTATTACAGTAACTGATCATTTCATAATGTAACGCGTCCTACTTTCTCACGCTTAAAATATAAATTGCTCAGTGAAAAATAGAACGTGTTCCAATTTAGAGTTCACGTGAGAATTGAAGTAACACATGACCTTTTTTCCAGTTAACGCAAAGATTTTCGTTTTTTCTTTATTGCCCCTTCCAAGAAAACCCCACCAAAGATATTGAATTTGGCTCGGTTTAGGTTTATTGTTGTTCGCAAAAAAAAATGACGCGAGGAAAAACTTTTCAAATCAAGAGTACTAGAAAAAGAATACGTGACACTTTTAGATGACACACGATGGTTCTTTGAAATGAATCGTAAATCTTGGCGTCTAGAGAATTTCCCTCAGAAGATGTCTTCTATCCTGATCATGTTCTAGAATAGGGAAAACTTAGCTCATGAATTCTGCTTTATTATTTTTCAAGACTTCACATTTTTGTATACATTCGACTGCTAGTTTCGAGGATAGTACTTTTTTTCAAAACAATTTTATGAAAATATATGAAAATATATTATTCTCCCAACATTTTAAGTCAAAAAACCTGAAACTCCTGCAAAAAAAATCATGAAGTTCTTCAGTCAATCGTTTAATTAATAAAATGCACTCTATGAAAATTTCTGGAACGTGAGGAAGAATATCGGGTGGTGGAGGAGGATTATGACTACTTTACGAAAGGCTTCTAGAGCATGACACATTCTCCGGGATTTATAAAGATGATCTAGACTTGACTTGTACCGCCCGTATTTCGAGTCATCTTATTTTTTAGAGTCGTATCGAAGGAAGCAATATACGATAATATACATTTTTTGTGAGCTAAAGCTTAGTATAGTTTTTTGGCATTTTTTACGACAGGTGAAATTTCTAGACTACATTTCGTGAATATATTTTATTTAAGATAACCACAGAATTCAATGATCAGATCCCAATTTTTTTTTTCATTTAGGAAACGTATATGTTGTTACTGTACCGGACCAAAAATACAAAAATATACTGTTAGGATTTTTCGAATTTTTAAATAACTAAAACTAGAAGGGCATCCACACTGTCAAGTTTGAGCTAATTTATCTCGGCTCCTGTGCAAGATATCAAAAAGTGGTCAACTGATAAAATATTCATTGTAATATCTTCAATATTTTATCAGTGTATAAACTTTAATATCTCTCATAGGAACCGAGATGAGTGAGCTCCAGGGTCACATACAGGGCGATCTACTATGAGACCAAATACGAGAACTTTCAACTTCGAGCCAAGTTATCTCGGTACCTGTAAAAGCTATAAAAACGTGTCAACTGAAAAAATGTTTGTAATATTATGATAAACATTTTAACAGTTGATTACTTTTTGCTATCTTGCACAGAAACCAAGATATGTGGGCTCAACGATTTGGGGTCCTTCAATTACAGTTCTTCAGAAATTCGGGTTTTTAGACTTCTGAAGCCGACCTGTTATATATTTTCTTGTACCGCCTAGTTCTGATTTCATTTGTAAAATTACTCCAAAAATCTGGACATCTTCTTATTCATTTCTTTTGGCTCCAAATCCTATCGTCTAATCCTCTTCAAAATTTGTGCGTATGTGTGTGTGTGTGTGTGTACACGATATGCCAATACTTTTTCTTGCCATTTTCCTTCATTTGTCCACCCTTTTCCCATCTTTCTAATATTCTGGAAACTCTTTTTTGCCTTTTGGCATTTGCTTTTTCTTTCTTCTTTTTTTCAATTTTCTCTGAAAGCCATATGATTAGTGAAATGGACTTTTGCCTCTCCTCTACTGTACATAGTTAAGCGTTGTTTCAAAAAAGAAGGGAAGGAAATCAAAGGGACTGAAAAAAACGGGAAAAGTTGAATTGAAACTAATTGCGGTGGGGGGATTTTGAAAGATTTATGTGTCAGTTTTCGTCTTTTCGAGAAAAGTTGTTCCGTGAAAAATCCTTAAAAAAAACATTCTTAACTTTCTCTGAATTCCGGATTGATTTTTTTTGACATGATTATTCCCTTCAAGATATAAACTCAATAATCTTCATTATTCAATTTCCAGAGGACTAGTTTTTATAGCTGAGCAACTAGAAAAAACAACCACGTGCGAGCCAGAATTTTTTCTTGCTGAGATTTTCGATGAGCGGATTATCTAAACAATTTTTTGTCAGAACCAGCGGCTAATCAATTTTTTCATTCTTTTTTCGTTTTTTCAAATGAAATTCTAGACACTTTTTAAATGCCGCTGAAAAGTCATAAAATCATCAAATCGCCATTAAAATGTAGGATTAGGATTTAAGATTAGATTGAGATAGAAAGTTTGGCATTTATTCCTTGTCTTGAATGTTTTTTTGGTTGATCTGAAACGTTTTTCTTTCTGGGCGGTAAGGATATTGAAAACTGAGAAAGTAACTAATCGTAACTGTACTTTAATTAACATTCGGATCAAAACGTCTCTCTATAAACTACCGTAAACCCCTACCGTATTTTCTGTGATAGAAGCCCCCCACCCTTTATAGTTTGAACTCAATTATCTCGGCTCCTATGAAAGAAATCAACAATTGGTTAACTGAAGAAATATTGGTGGAACCGAGAAAAATCAGCTGAAACTTGAAAATATGGGGGGGGGGCTTCTATGACAGGTTGTGGTACATGCATTTACCGTAAAACCTCTAATAGAACGACACCCGGATCGTCCACTTTGAGCCTATATATCTCATTTTCTGTGAAAGATATCAAAAAGTGGCTAACTAATAAAATGTTGCTGATATCCTGATAAACATTTTACTAGTTAACCACTTTTTGATATCTTTCAAAAAAGTGAGATATATAGGCTCAAAGTGGACGATCCGGGTGTCGTTCTATTAGAGGTTTTACGGTATATGGGTTTAAAGTTGACAAGATGGGTTGCGGTATATTAAAGCGTACGGTATCTGTTGT